GCTGGTACTGACGCTGATGACGCTGCCGACGATCATCATCGCCACCCGCGCGGCGCTCAAGGCCGTCCCGCCCTCGATCCGCGCCGCCGCGCTCGGCGTTGGCGCCTCGAAAATGCAGATGGTGTTCCACCACGTCCTGCCGCTTGCCGCGCCCGGCATCCTGACCGGCACGATCATCGGACTGGCCACGGCGCTCGGGGAAACCGCGCCGCTGCTTCTGATCGGCATGGTCGCCTTCGTCGCCGACTATCCGGCGACGCCTTTCGACCCCTCGACGGCTCTGCCGGTTCAGATTTATATGTGGTCGGGACAGGCCGAGCGCGCATTCGTCGAACGCACGTCGGGCGCGATCATCATCCTTCTTCTTTTCCTCGCGGTCATGAACATCACCGCGATCATCCTGCGCCGCAGGTTCGAACGGCGGTGGTAGTGAACATGAGGACCACGGACATGAAAGTCGATACCCAGCAGGGCTTCGCCGACGGCACGGCGACAGCGGTGACCGGTTCCAACGAGTTTCCCGTCAAGATGGACGGCAAGAACGTCAACGTCTTCTACGGCGACAAGCAGGCCATCTTCGATGTCAATCTGGAGATCCGCGAGCGCCAGGTGACCGCCCTGATCGGACCGTCCGGCTGCGGCAAGTCCACCTATCTGCGCTGTCTGAACCGCATGAACGACACGATCGAGAGCTGCCGCGTTACCGGCCTGATCACCATGGATGGCGAGGACATCTACGATCCCTCCATCGATGTGGTCGAACTGCGCGCCCGCGTCGGCATGGTGTTCCAGAAGCCCAACCCGTTCCCCAAGTCGATCTTCGAGAACGTCTCCTACGGACCGCGCATCCATGGTCTGGCCAGGTCCAAGGCGGACCTTGAGGCGCTCGTCGAGCAGAGCCTGCGCGGCGCCGGCCTTTGGGATGAGGTCAAGGACAGGCTGCAGGAGCCCGGCACCGGCCTGTCCGGCGGTCAGCAGCAGCGCCTGTGCATTGCCCGCGCCATTGCGGTCTCGCCCGAGGTCATCCTGATGGACGAGCCCTGCTCGGCGCTCGATCCGATCGCCACGGCCATCGTCGAGGAACTGATCGACGAACTGCGCCAGAACTACACGATCGCGATCGTCACCCATTCCATGCAGCAGGCCGCGCGCGTGTCGCAGCGCACGGCGATGTTCCATCTGGGCGAGCTGGTGGAAGTGGACGACACCGAGACGATGTTCACCAACCCGTCCGAAAAGCGCACCCAGGACTATATCACCGGCCGCTTCGGCTGATCGCCACGACCCGCCTTCCGAACAGAAACGGAACCAAGAACATGTCCCAGCACACGGTCACCGCGTTCGAAGAAGACATGAGCTTCCTGGCTCACAAGATTGCCGAGATGGGCGGTCACGCCGAGCGCATGATGGAACAGTCGGTGCGCGCGCTGGTCGAAAACGACCTGCAGCTGGCGCGCCGGGTGGTCACCGACGATCTGGTGCTGGACGAAGCGCTGCGGCTGATCGACGACAAGTCGGTGCTGGTGATCGCCCAGCGCCAGCCCGTGGCGAGCGATCTGCGCGAGGTCTTCGCCGCCATCCGCATCTCCACTGACCTCGAACGGATCGGCGATCTGGCCAAGAACATCGCCAAGCGCGTCGAGGCGATCAACGAAGGCAAGCATGGCGTGCGCCTGGTGCGTGGCATCGAGCATCTGTGCGAGCTCACGCTGGCGCAGCTCAAGGAAGTGCTTGACGCCTACGGCACGCTGTCGACCGACAAGCTGTCCATGATCCGCGACCGCGACGACGAGATCGACGCGATGTACACATCGCTGTTTCGCGAACTTCTCACCTATATGATGGAAGACCCGCGCAACATCACCACCTGCACCCATCTCCTGTTCTGCGCCAAGAACATCGAGCGCATCGGCGACCACGCCACCAACATCGCCGAGGCCGTCTATTACATGGTCGAGGGCGACCGGATGCCGCCGTACCGGCCCAAGGACGACAAGAGCCACAAGATCAGCGTCGAGGCTGGAGAGGGGCAGTAGGCCAGCACGCTGCACGACTGACGGAAGACGACGGACATGGGTGCGACACCAAGGATCATGGTCGCTGAAGACGAGGAAGCCCTGAGCGTCCTTCTTCGCTACAATCTGGAATCGGAAGGCTACACGGTCGAAACCGTGCTGCGCGGCGACGAGGCGGAGATCGCGCTGCGTGAGACGCCGCCCGATCTGCTCATTCTCGACTGGATGCTGCCGGGCCTCAGCGGTATCGAACTGTGCCGCCGCCTGCGTGCCAGAACCCAGACGCAGCGCCTGCCGATCATCATGCTGACCGCGCGCGGCGAGGAATCCGAGCGCATTCGCGGCCTGTCGACCGGCGCCGATGACTATGTGGTCAAGCCTTTTTCGACCCCCGAACTGATGGCCCGGGTCAAGGCGATGCTGCGCCGTGCCCGGCCCGAGATCATGGCATCGCTGCTCAAGGTCGGTGACATCGAGCTCGATCGCGAGACCCATCGGGTCTACCGCAACGGGCGCGAGATCAAGCTCGGGCCGACCGAGTTCCGGCTTCTGGAATTCTTCCTTCAGGCGCCGGGCCGCGTCTTTTCGCGTGGTCAGCTTCTCGACGGGGTCTGGGGCGAGAACATCTATGTCGACGACCGGACCGTCGACGTGCATATCGGCCGCCTGCGCAAGTCGATCAATTTCGGCCGCCTGCGCGATCCGATCCGCACCGTGCGCGGCGCCGGCTACGCGCTCGAAGGCTCCTGAGCCGCGCAGACACGTTCAAGCGCGACAACGCCCGACACAGAAGACCGCGGCACCGGGCCGCGGCCAATTTGTTACGCCATGTTTTTGGGGAGAAGCCTTGGAACCGTTCTAGCGGGCGCGCTTACGGTCGTTTTGCTGGAAGGCCAGCTTGCCGTGATATTTGCAATAAGGCGAACCGTCGTCGGTCCCGTGGCCGCAAAAGTAGAACTCGTCCGTCAGCGGGTCGCCATAGGGCCATTTGCAGGTGTTTTCGTTCAGTTCGGTCAGCATCAGCCGCTTGGCGATCGGCACGACGACATCCTCGATCGGGCGCGTGTCGGGCACGACCAGGGCTTGCGGGTCGGCATCCTGCTTGAGCGCGGTTGCCGCCATGCCTTGCCTGACGCCGCCACGCTGCATGGCCGAACCATAGGCATTGGTTCGCGCGCCGCCGCCGCCGTTGCCGCCGCCGAGATTGGTGCGTGGTGCCGACGGCCGCTTGATCTTCGGCGCCGCGCTCTTGGTGCTTTTGGCGCGGCCCGAAAGCTTGAGCCGGTGCACCTTGCCGATCACAGCGTTGCGGCTCACGCCGCCGAGCTTGGCCGCGATCTGGCTGGCGCTCAGCCCGTCGGCCCAAAGCTTCTTCAGCATTTCAACGCGTTCGTCGGTCCAGCTCACGATCATCTCCGTTTCGACAGGCAGAATCCGGACCCGTTGCTCGGCCTTGAGGACAAGGGCCGGCGACGATACGCAAAACCGGGGAACGTCATTCTGCTTGGGCGTTTGCTCCGGCTGACAAGCTACAATATCGGTTGACTCCTGTTCAAGAGTCGGCTCGTCGCATGGGAATCGTTTTGTGCTTTTTCCCCAACTTGGCCCGACGGCGAGTATGCCGGGTCCGCCGCGCGAAGGCGGCACGATTGACGAAACCCGCCGGCGGCTCTAAGGAGATAACGGCCGCTCGCAAGGGCGGTTTTTGTGTTTTCAGCCCGGCGCCGACCGCTCCGGGCAAGCCGCCGGACGCCGTTCGATGACCAGCCAATCGGCCCTGTTCGACACTTATGCCCGTGCGTCGCTCACTGTCGAGCGCGGCGAAGGCTGCTGGCTGCATGACACGGACGGCCGCACCTTTCTCGATTTCGGCAGCGGCATCGCGGTCAACGGGCTCGGCCATGCCCATCCGCATCTGATTTCCGCGCTCACCGAGCAGGCCGGCAAGCTTTGGCACACATCCAACCTCTACCGCATTCCCGATCAGGAGCGGCTGGCCGAACGCCTGTGCGCGGCAACATTTGCCGATCGCGTCTTCTTCACCAATTCGGGTGTCGAAGCGGTCGAATGCGCGATCAAGACGGCGCGCCGTTACTTTTATGCGAAAGGCGAGCCCGATCGGGTCGGCATCATCACCTTCCAGGGTGCCTTCCACGGCCGTACGCTGGCGACCATCGCCGCCGGCGGCCAGGCCAAATATCTCGAAGGCTTCGGTCCCAAGGCCCCCGGTTTCGACCAGGTCCCCTTCGGCGACATGGATGCGCTGGAGGCGGCGATCACCGGCGAGACCGCCGCGGTCCTGATCGAGCCGGTGCAGGGCGAGGGCGGCCTCCGGCCGGTGCCCGACGAAACGCTCCGCGCAATGCGCGACTTGTGCGACGCGCACGGCCTGTTGCTGATCTTCGACGAGATCCAGTGCGGCATGGGCCGCACCGGACGGCTCTTCGCCCATGAGCATGCCGGCATCGCGCCCGACATCATGGCCACCGCCAAGGCGCTCGGCGGCGGCTTCCCGGTCGGCGCGTGCCTTGCCACCGAGGAGGCCGCCAGCGGTATGGTTCCGGGCGTCCATGGCACCACCTATGGCGGCAATCCGCTGGCCATGGCGGTCGGCAATGCCGTGCTTGACGTGATGCTCGAAGACGGCTTTCTCGAGGCGGTCGAGCAAAAGGCCCTGCGCCTGAAGCAGGGTCTCGTCTCGCTGGTCGACCGTTTCCCGGACATCTTCGGCGAGGTGCGCGGCAAGGGGCTGATGACCGGCCTCAAATGCGTCGTGCCGAACACCGATGTCGTCCGCGCGCTTTTCGACGGTCACATGCTCGTTGTGCCGGCCGGCGACAATGTGATCCGCATCCTGCCGCCGCTGATCGTCTCCGACGAGGAAATCAGCGAAGGGCTTGCCCGTCTCGAGGCCGCCGCTCGCGCCCTTTCGACCCACGCCGGCGCCTGAAGCGCCCGATCCCTGTCCAGTTACGGGTTTTATTCATGAGTGCTCGCCATTTTCTCGATCTGTCCGCCGTGACCGCGGCCGATCTGCGCACCATCATCGACTCCGCCCTGGCCGGCAAGGCCGCGCACAAGGCCGGCACCGCCGCGCGCCCGCTCGAAGGCAAGGCACTGGCCATGATCTTCGAAAAGCCGTCGACGCGAACGCGCGTCTCTTTCGATGTCGGCATGCGTCAGCTTGGCGGCGAGACGATCATGCTGACCGGCGGCGAAATGCAGCTCGGCCGCGACGAGACGATCGCCGACACCGCGCGCGTCCTGTCGCGCTATGTCGACATCATCATGATCCGCACCCATGAGCATGACCGGCTCGCCGAACTGGCCGACGCCGCCACCGTCCCGGTCATCAACGGGCTGACCGACGCAACCCATCCCTGCCAGATCATGGCCGATGTGATGACCTTCGAAGAGCATCGCGGTCCGGTCGCCGGCAGGAAGATCGCCTGGTCGGGTGACGGCAACAATGTGCTGCATTCGATGATCGAGGCCAGCGCCCGCTTCGCCTTCGAGCTGGCCGTCGCCGTGCCCAGTGGCAATGAGCCCGATCGTGCCTATATGGACTGGGCGCGCGGGCAAGGGGCGAAGGTCTCCGTGACCCATGACCCCGAAACCGCGGTGCAAGACGCCGACGCCGTCGTCACCGATACCTGGGTCTCCATGGGCCAGGAGGAACGTGCCCGCGGCCACAATGTGTTCATGCCCTATCAGGTTAACCAGGCGCTCATGGCCCATGCCAAGCCGGACGCCCTGTTCATGCATTGCCTGCCCGCCCATCGGGGCGAGGAGGTCACCGACGCGGTCATCGACGGTCCGCAATCGGTGGTGCTGGACGAGGCCGAAAACCGGATGCATGTCCAGAAGGCCATTATCGCATGGTGTCTGGGCGAGAGCCTCGCCTGACCGGGCGCAAAGCGGAAAGACACGAAGATGACCGACATCCGATCGACGCCGGCGGGATCGATACCGCCGGTGAACCCTGCTCCCGTGGGCCTTGATGCCGTCGTTCCATTCCAGATCGACGCGCTGGACGCGCGCGGCCGCGCCGTGCTGCTGGGCGATGCGCTCGACGGTATCCTTGCCCGCCATGACTATCCCGAACCGGTCGCCCGCCTTCTGGGTGAGATGACGGTGCTGACGGTGCTTCTGGGCACCTCGCTCAAGTTCGAGGGCAAGTTCATCGTCCAGGCGCAGACCGACGGCCCGGTCTCGCTGCTCGTCGTCGATTTCGTCACGCCGGGCACGGTGCGCGCCTATGCCAGGTTCGACGAGGGTGCGGTCGATGCCGCGGTTGCGGCCGGCCACGCCCGGCCCGAAGACCTTCTGGGCACGGGCACGCTGGCGCTGACCGTCGACCAGGGCGCCTACATGAACCGCTATCAGGGCATCGTTCAACTCGACGGGGCTTCGCTCGAGGAGATCGCGCGCAACTACTTCCGCCAGTCCGAACAGATCCCCACCGAGCTTCGCCTCGCCGTGGGCCGGCTCTCCGTGCGCGGCGATGACGGGTCCATGCGCCAGTTCTGGCGTGCCGGCGGAATCGTCGCCCAGTTCCTGCCCGATGCGCCCGAGCGCATGGGCGCGACCGACCTGCATCCGGGCGAGGCGCCCGAGGGCGTCGAGATTCCGACGCTCGAGGACGACGATGCCTGGTCCGAGGTCAAGGCGCTGGTCGGCACGGTCGACGATGACGAACTGATCGACGAGGGCGTCGGCGTGCACGCGCTGCTGTTCCGGCTTTTCCACGAGCGCGGCGTCCGCGTCTTCGATGCGCAGGACATCCGCGAGAAATGCACCTGCACCCGCGACAAGGTGGCCGGCGTTCTTGCGTCGCTGTCCGACGAGGACGTTGCCGAGGCGACCCGTGACGGCAAGATCACGATCACCTGCGAATTCTGTTCGACCGTCTATGAGTTCGCGCCCGGTGACGCGAAAACGTGAGTTGCCGCCGGCGGCGGAATGCGCTGCCGCCGGTCGCCCCACGCATCCGGCGCGGCCCATGACCAAGATTTAACTTGTTCGGCGTCATTGGTGCCTTATTTTCCGCCCAAAGGACGCATCGATGCTGAAATCCGTCGAAGACCCGCAGATCGCCGGAGACGACACTGCGCCTGCCCGCCGCCCGGGCGGCGGCGTGGCGACGGCCCTGCGCGCCACCGTCCAGGCAGCGCTGATGGTGGCCGTGCTTGTCGGCTCCTATCTGGCGATGGAACGGCTGATCGCCGCCGCGCCCGAACGGACCGCGCGGCCCCAGCCGGATGTGTCCGTGCCGGTCGAGGCGGTGGTTGTCGCCGCCGGTGACGAGCGGCCCAATGTCAGCCTTTACGGCGAGGTGGCCGCCGCGCGTGCCGTCGATATCCGCCCGCCCGTGTCGGGCGAAGTCATCGCCATCCACCCGGACCTGTCGGCGGGCCGGCGCATCGAGGCGGGCGCAACCCTGTTCGAGATCGATCCGTTCGATCTCGAAGTGGCGCTGGCCGAGGCGCGGGCCAATCTCGCCCAGACCGAGGCGACCATCGCCGAGAACGAGGCGCGGCTCGTCTCGGAGCGCGCACAGCTCGAAGGCGCCCGCGATCAGCTGGACCTCGCCCGAAGCGATCTGGCGCGCGCCGAGCAGTTGCGCGGCAATGGCACGCTGACCGCCAAGCAGGTCGAGGATCGCGAACTGATCGTTTCCCAGCGTGAACAGGCCGTTTCCCAAAGGGTCAACAACATCGCCATAGAGGAAGCGCGGCTCGATCAGCAGCGTGCCATCCGCACCCGGCTGGAACTGGGCGTGCGGCGCGCCGAGCGCAATCTCGGCGACACGGCGGTGCGGGCACCGTTTTCCGGCGTGGTCCGTTCGTCCACCGTTGAAACGGGGCGCATCGTTGCAGCCAATGACGTGGCCGTCGCCATGTACGATGACAGCGCGCTCGATGTCCGCTTCACCCTGACCGACGCGCAATATGGCCGCATTGCCACCGACGCCGATCCCCTGATCGGCCGCGACGTGACGCTGGTCTGGACCGTCGGCAATCTCGACTACACCTACACCGCCACCGTCAACGGCATCGGCGCCGACATCGCCTCGGCACGCGGCGGCGTGGACGTTTTCGCGCGCATCGATGTGACCGACGGGCCGGTGCAACTCCGCCCCGGCGCCTTCGTCGCCGTGACAGTGCCCGACCGGCTCTATGAAGACGCCGTGCGGCTGCCGGAGACCGCGCTCTATGACGCAGGAACCATGTATGTGATCGCCGATGGCCGGCTCGAGCATCGGACCGTCGAGGTTGCCGCCTTCGATGGCGCCGACGTGATCGTCACCGGCGGGCTGACGGCCGGCGAACAGGTGATGACGACGCGTCTTTCCAATGTCGAGGACGGGCTGAAGGTCTCGGTTCCCAGCGCCGAAACGCCGGCCATCGACGATGGGTCGACGCCGGTTGCCGGGGCGCGTCCGAGCGAAGAGATGATCACCGCGGCCAAGCGCCTGAGCGGATTGACGGACGCGCAGTGGGACGCGCTGTCGGGCGACGAGCGCCGCGCCTATTTCCGCCAGTTGCGCGACCGGCCCGACACGGCCGGCGACGGCTGACATGGCCCCGTCCGGCATATCGCAGCATCGCCTCGTTGGCGCGTTCCTGCGCCATCCCAATGCGGCCAATCTGCTGATGGTGCTGATGATCCTGTTCGGCGTCTTCGCGCTGGCGCGGATCAACACCCAGTTCTTTCCGACCATCGAGACCTCGACGGTTTCGGTTTCCATCGCCTGGTCGGGTGCCAGCGCCGAGGATGTCGAGCAGAACATCCTTGCGGTCGCCGAGCCCGAACTGCGCTTCATCGAGAACGTCAAGCAGGTCGTCTCCTACGCCCGCGAGGGCTCCGCATCGATCCGCCTCGAATTCGAGGAAGGCACGGACATGCAAAAGGCGGTGGCCGACGTCGACACCGCCGCAAAGGCGCTGACCAACCTGCCCGAGGGGTCCGAGGACCCCAAGGTGACCACCAGCCAATGGTTCGACCGCGTCGCCTCGATCTCCATCGGAGGCGACGTGTCCGAAGCGGTGGTTCGCGACTGGGCCCAGCGCATCCGCGACGATCTGGTCGAGCGCGGCATCGACAAGGTGACGTTCACCGGAATGCGCGACCCCGAATTGCAGGTGACCGTGCCCGAGCGGGAGCTGCGCCGGCTCGATCTGACGATCTCCGACATATCAAGGGCGATCGGCGCGAACTCGCGCGACCTGCCGTCCGGCAATCTGGACGGCGCGGTGGAACGGCAATTGCGCACGCTGTCCGACGCCGAGGATGCGCGCGCGCTGGGCCAGATCGAGGTCAAATCGTTCCCGACCGGCGAAAAGGTGCGCCTTGGCGACATTGCCGAGGTTCGCGAAGGGTTCGAGGATGGCGCGATCCAGGGCTTTTCCAACACGTTTCCGGCGATCGAGATCGACGTCCAGTCGACCGCCACCGCGGACACGCTGACGACCAACGCGATCCTGCAGGATTATGTCGCGGAGATCCGGCCGCAACTGCCGGCCAGTCTCGAACTGCAGGTCTACGAGGTGCGCGCGGACTCGCTCAACGAGCGGATCATGCTGCTGGTCAAGAACGGTGCGACCGGGCTGCTGCTCGTCCTGATCGTCCTGTTCGCCTTCCTGCATGTGCGCATCGCGGTCTGGGTCGCCGCCGGCATTCCCGTCGCGCTGCTGGCCACCGTCGGGCTGATGTATGTCTTCGGCGAAACCATCAACATGCTGTCCCTGTTCGGGCTGATCATGATGCTCGGCGTCATCGTCGACGACGCGATCGTCGTCGGCGAACACACCGACACGCGCCTTGCGATGGGAGACGATCCGGTGACGGCCGCCGAAAACGGCGTCGGTGCCATGTTCACGCCGGTCACCGCCGCGCTGACGACGACCGTCGCGACCTTCGCGCCTCTGCTCTTGATCGGCGATACGATCGGCCAGATCGTTGGCGTGCTGCCGGTCGTCGTGATCGCCGTCGCCATCGCCTCCATCGTCGAGTGTTTCTTCATCCTGCCCGGCCATCTGAGCCATTCGCTGCAGGGCCGCTCGGCGCCGCGCTGGTCGCATTGGCGGGTCTTCTTCGTCGGCCTCGTCATCGTCCTGTTCATGGCGGCCTTCTTCACGCGTGCCGGCGGCGAGGGCGGCGTCGCCCAATCGCTGCCCTTCATCGCCGCGTTCGACGCATGGCGGCAGACCGTTTCCCCTTTCATGTTCGGAACGGTCGCCGCAGCGGTCGCACTCATCGCAGCCGTTCTTGTCGAGTTTGTCCTTTACGCGGTGCGCGTCGGCTTCGGCCGCAACCGGCGCACCTTCGACGCCGACGAAATGCCCGAAGATGCCTGGTTCCGGCGCAATTTCGACGCCGGCTTCAACTGGATCCGGCAGGGCCCGTTCGCCTGGCTGGTGCGGCTGGCCTACAATTGGCGCTATGTCTCCATGGCGATCGCCATCGGTCTGGTCATGGTCTTCGCCTGGGGCCTGCGCGCCGGGGAACATGTCGGCTTCGTCTTCTTCCCCTCGCCGGAGTCCGAGAACATCTCCGGCTCGATCATCCTGCATCCGGGCACGCCGGAGAGCGAGGCGATCATGGCCGTACGGGAGTTCGAGAACGCGCTGCGCCGCGCCGAAGCCAGCCTGACGGCGGACAATGGCGAAGAACTGATCGAGGCGGTGTTTGTCACGCTTGGCTCGTCCGGCCGTTCGCAGGGCGACAATCTCGCCCGCATCAAGGTACAGCTCACCATCTCGGAACGGCGCACCATTCGTACGCCGGAGATCGTGCGCGCCTGGCGGGCCGAGGCGCCCGAGCTTCCGTCCGTCCGCCGCTTCGCGGTGCGCCAGTCGCGCGGCGGTCCGCCCGGAGCCGACATCGATGTCGAGCTCAGAGGCTCCTCCATTGCCGTCCTCAAGGAAGCCGCCGTCGAGGTGACGGCAATCGTTGCGGCCATCCCCGGCGTCACGGGCGTCGAGGACGATCTGCCCTATGGCAAGCCCGAACTGATCATGACGCTGACGCCGCGCGCGGCGGCCTTGGGCTTCACCCTCGACGAGGTGGGCACGCAGGTGCGCAATTCCGTCGAGGGCATGGTGCCGCGGCGCTTTGCGCGCGGCAACGACGAAGTGGCAATCCGCGTCAGCCAGGACATGGACGGCCAGGGGACGGCGGCCCTGCGCGCCATGATGCTGACCGCGCCATCGGGCGATCTGGTACCGCTGACCGAAATCGTCACGCTGAGCGAGCAGCAGGGCTTCTCGGCGATCCAGCGTCAGGACGGACAGACGACGATCTCGGTGACCGGTGAAATCGATGCGGCGGTCAACACCACCGACGGTGTCGTCGACCAGCTTGTCTCGTCAGGCGCTCTGGACGCCATCGCCCGCACTTATGGCATCGACTATGATTTCGGCGGCCGCAGCCAGGAGCAGCGCGACGCCTTCGCCGATCTGGGCTTCGGCACGCTGATCGCGCTGAGTGTCATCTACATCATCCTGGCCTGGGTGTTCGGCAGCTATTTCCGCCCGTTCGCGGTCATGCTGATCATCCCGTTCGGCGTCGTCGGCGCCGTGGTCGGCCACTGGCTGATGGGCTATCAGCTCACCATGCTGTCGATGATAGGCCTGCTCGGCCTGTCGGGCATTCTGGTCAACGATTCCATCATTCTGGTTTCGCGGCTCGAGGAGCGGCTGAAGACCGGCGAAGCGATCCGCGAAGCCTGCATCAATGCGAGTTGCGACCGGTTTCGCGCCGTCCTTCTGACGTCGCTGACCACCATTGGCGGCCTGATCCCGCTCCTGTTCGAGACCTCGCTTCAGGCCCAGTTCCTGATGCCGATGGCGATCACCATGGTGTTCGGGCTGGCCACGGCGACGGTGCTCGTCCTGTTCCTCGTGCCGGTCTTCATCGGTATCGGCGAGGACATCCGCAACCTGCTCGTCGCGCTCTACGGCGACCGGCGGCGCCTGCCGCGGCCCGTGGCCGGTCAATGATCGTCAGTTGATCGTCCGCACGACGTTCGGCACGTCCAGAGAAAAGGCCGGAACGCGCGCCCGCATCCGCTCGCCGCTTTGCCGCCGCATCACATAGTGACCGACCATCGTGCCCGACGGCGTGTTCAGCGGGCATCCCGAGGTATATTGGAAGCTGTCGCCGGGAGACAGGACGGGCTGCTCGCCGATGACGCCGGGACCGCTCACCTCCTCCACCGCGCCCAGCGCATTGGTGATGCGCCAGTAGCGGCTTTCGAGCTGGACCGTCTCTTCGGAATGGTTGGCGATCACCACCGTATAGGCCCAGAACCAGCGACCGTCGTCCGGCTCCGACTCCTCGTCCAAAAAGTCGGGCCGCACGGTCACTTCGATCCCGTCTGTCGTCTCGCGATACATGCGCCGACTCTAGCCAAACACGTTCGGCCGGAAAAGGGCGCGGGCACGCGAAAGTGAGTCGGCGTGATGATCGCTGCCCGGTGATGATGGTGACCTTGGAGGACAAGTGTCGTATGGGCGGGACCGTTCGCTTCAACCGATCCATGCGCCATGTTCGACAGCACGCTCCGGTCCAAGCTCGACCCCGCCCTTGAGCGGCTTGCCGCGCGTTTGGCGCGCGCCGGCGCGACCGCCGACCAGGTGACGATCGCCGGGCTGGTGCTCGGCGTGGCCGCCGCCGGTGCGATCGCGCTGCACTGGTTCTGGCTTGGCCTCGCGCTGATATTGATCAGCCGCCTTTGCGACGGTCTCGACGGCGCCGTCGCGCGCATCACCGGCAAGACCGATTTCGGCGGCTATCTCGACATCGTACTGGATTTTGCCTTTTACGGCGTGATCCCGATCGGATTCGTCCTTGCCGATCCCGGCGCCAACGCGGTGGCCGGTGCCGTTCTGGTCTTTTCGTTCTATGTCAACGGCGCCAGCTTCCTCGCCTATGCGATCATGGCCGAGCGGCACGGGCTTTCGAGCGAAAGCCATGGCGAGAAGTCGATCTTCTTCACCACCGGCCTTGCCGAAGCCACCGAGACCATCGCCGTGTTCGTTCTGATGTGTCTCGTGCCGCACTGGTTCGCGGCAATCGCCTGGGTCTTCGCCGCGATCTGCCTTTACACGGCCGTCTCGCGCATTGCTCTGGCCTCGCGGACCCTGCGCTGAACGTACGCTACCCCGCCGCCGCCAGTGCCCGGTCCAGATCGGCGATCAGGTCCTGGGCGTCTTCGAGACCGACCGACAGGCGCATCGTGCCGCCGCCGATCGACAGTTCGGCGCGGTCCTGGTCCGACAGGTTCTTGTGCGTCGTCGTCGCCGGATGGGTGATCAGGCTCTTGGCATCGCCCAGATTGTTCGAGATGCCGACGATTTCGAGCGCGTTGGCGAATGCGAACGCCGATCGCTTGCCGCCCTTGACGTCGAACGCCACCAGCGTCGATCCGCCGCTCATTTGCTTGGGCACGATATTGGCCTGCGGATGGTCCGGCCGCCCCGGATAGACGACGCGGCTGATTGCCGAGTGGTCGGCGAGAAAGTCCGCCACCGCGCCGGCGCTCTTCGTCTGTTGCGCGACCCGCAGCGGCAGCGTCTCCAGCCCCTTGAGCATCACCCAGGCGTTGAACGGGCTCATCGACGGGCCGGTATGGCGGAAAAAGTCGTGCAGATGCTCGTCGACCCAGTCCTGTGGGCCGAGCACTACGCCACCAAGGCACCGCCCCTGCCCGTCAATGTGCTTGGTGGTCGAATAAACGACGATGTCGACGCCCAGCACCATCGGGTTCTGCAGGAGCGGCGTGGCGAACACATTGTCGATCACCGTTTTGGCGCCGCAGGCACGCGCCACCGCAACCACATGGGCGATATCGACGATCTCCAGCGTCGGATTGGTCGGGCTTTCGAAGAAGAACAGCTTGGTGTTCGGCTTGACCGCGCGTTCCCAGGCCTTGGGATCGGTGCCGTCGACCAGCGTCGTCTCGACACCATAGCGCGGCAGCAACTGCTCGACGATCCACCGGCACGAGCCAAACAGCGCCCGTGCCGCAATCACATGATCGCCGGCCGAAACCTGGCAGAGGATGGAGGCCGCGACCGCGGCCATGCCCGAGGCCGTCGCGCGCGCCGCTTCGGCGCCCTCGAGCGCACACATGCGCTGTTCGAACATCTCGACGGTCGGGTTGGCATAGCGCGAATAGACAAAGCCCGGATCGTCGCCCTTGAAGCGCGCCTCGGCCGCCTCGGCGCTGTCATAGACAAAGCCCTGCGTCAGGAACATCGCCTCGGATGTCTCGCCGAAGGCCGAACGTGTTGTCCCGGCATGCACCATGCGTGTCGCCGGCTTCAGATCTTGCCTCTTGTCGGCCATGGCAGCCACCCCACACAAAAATCCCGGCCTCATGCCGCCATGAGCCGGGTCGTTGCCGTCCAAATATCCGGCAAATCCTCGGCCTTTTAGCGAGTTTTGGGAGCGCACTCCCGTGGCTGCAAGCCGGCCGGCCAAATCACCACGTCAATAAGCTGTCCATAAAGGGCCGCGTGCCTTGCGTCAATTGGCGGCGCTGGCCATCGTGCCGCCGCACTGGGGCAGGGCAGGCAGTTTCATGACGCGGCGCGACAGCGGCATCCTCGCCGATCACGACATTGAAGGCTTGGTGGAGACCGGGGCGATCATCGTGCCGCGGCCGCTCGACGACAACCAGATCCAGCCCGCCAGCCTTGACCTGCGCCTGGGCACCACCGCCTACCGGGTGCGCGCCAGCTTCATGCCGGGTGCGGCGCACGCCGTTGCCGGCAAGCTCGCCCAATACGAGCTCCACCGGATCGACCTGACCGAAGGCGCGGTTCTGGAGACCGGCTGCGTCTACATCGTGCCGCTGCTGGAAAGCCTGGCATTGCCGGCGGACATCGCCGCCGCCGCCAACCCGAAAAGCTCGACCGGCCGGCTCGACATCTTCACCCGCGTGATCACCGACAATGCGGTGGAGTTCGACAAGGTCCCCGCCGGCTATGAGGGCCCTCTGTTTCTGGAGGTCAGCCCGCGCACATTTCCGATCATCGCACGCACCGGCTCGCGCCTGACGCAGATCCGCTTCCGCACCGGCCACGCCGTGCTTGGCGCTGCAGAGCTCGCCGACCTGCACGATGCCGAAACGCTGGTTGCCGGCGACACGCCCAACATTTCGCAGACCGGCATCGCCCTGTCCGTCGACCTTTCAGGCGACGCATCGGGCCTTGCCGGCTATCGCGGCAAGCGGCACACCGGCCTTGTCGATGTCGACAAGCCCAGCGCCCATGACGTGCTCGATTTCTGGGAACCGGTGCATGTGCGCGACCGCAAGGAGCTGATCCTCGATCCGGACCAGTTCTACATTCTCGTCAGCCGCGAGGCGGTGCATGTGCCGCCGCTTCATGCAGCCGAGATGACCCCGTTCGATCCGCTGGTCGGCGAATTTCGCGTCCACTATGCCGGCTTTTTCGATCCCGGTTTCGGCCATTCGGCGGCGGGCGGCACAGGCAGCCGCGCCGTTCTGGAAGTGCGCAGCCATGAGGTGCCGTTCGTTCTCGAACACGGCCAAATCGTCGGCCGGCTCGTCTATGAACACATGATCGGCCGGCCGTCGGCGCTCTACGGCGCCGATCTGAAGTCAAACTACCAGGCGCAGGGCCTCAAGCTTTCGAAGCATTTCCGGGCGCCGTAGCGTCAGCCGCGCGCATGGCGCGCACCTCGGCACGCAAGGCCCGCACCTCTTCCAGGATCAGCGTCTGCTCGTCATGCAGCGACGACCGCTCGTCGGCCGCCTGTGCGTCGTGTTCGGCCTGCATGGCGGAGACGACCACGCCGATGAACAGGTTCAGAACCGTAAAGGTCGTCGCGGCGATGAACGGAATGAAGAACGCCCACGCCCAAGGGAACGCGTCCATCACCGGCCGCACGATGCCCATCGACCAGCTCTCCAGCGTCATGATCTGGAAAAGCGAATAGGCGGAAGCGGCGATCGAGCCGAACCATTGCGGAAACTCGCCGCCGAACAGCTTGGTCGCCATCACCGAGAAGACATAGAAGACCAGCATCAGCAGCAGCACGATCGAGCCGAGCCCCGGCAATGCGGTCAGGAGCCCGCCGACGACGCGGCGCATGGACGGCACGGCGCTGATCAGGCGCAGCACGCGCAGGATGCGCAGCGCCCGCAGCACCGAGAACGGACCGGCGGCGGGGATCAGCGCGATCGAGACGATGATCAGGTCGAAGATGCGCCACGGGCTTTTGAAGAAGTCGAGCCGGTAGACGGCGAACTTGATCATCAGTTCGACGACGAACACCGCCAGGATGAGCCGGTCGATCGTCAGAAGAACCGGCCCGATCGCATCCATCAGGGCGGGCGATGTTTCCATGCCCAGCGTGATCGCATTGATGATGATCAGGATGATGATCGCGCGCTCAAAGCGCTGGCTTTCAACGAACGATTTCAGGGACTGCATGGAAGACACCGGCCGGAATCGGAATGAAGGTGACGCCTATATACGGTTGCACGCGGCGGTTTGAAACGGGTCCGGGCGCTACCGGCGTCAATCCTGTCTCTGGTGTGCCGTATGCGGTGTCTTTTCCCATTCGAACGGTCGGCTGAACAGATGGACGAGCGCGCGCCATGCGGCGACGGACTGCGCCATCCAGTAAACCGGGATCAGCACAATGCGCCAACCGATCTTGCTTCGCTCCTCCGGCGCGGTCGCCAGCCAGCACAGCGCTCCGAACGCCAGATAGCTTGCGGCGATCATCAGCCAGTCGATCCAGGCGATCAGGCTCATATAGGCCGGATCGGGCGACTGGACGGTCAGCCAGATGCTCAGACCCACCGCATTGACCAGCACCAGCGGGTGCAGCAGGGCCGAGACGAAGGTGCCGGTCAGAAGCAGCTGTGTGATCACGAACGCGCGCAGATGCATGTTGCGGTAGAGCCGCGCCGGCTCTCGCGTGTGCACGATCCATGTCTGCATCCAGCCCTTGAACCAGCGCGTACGCTGCGGCAGCCAGGCGCCCAATGTGTGCGGCGCATCTTCCAGCGTCGGTCGGCTGATCATCGCCGTGCGGTAGCCGCCGCGCCACAGCCGCATGCCCAGGTCGGCGTCTTCGGTGACGTTGAACGGGTCCCAGCGGCCCACCTGATCCAGCGCATGCCGGCGGAAATGGTTTGACGTGCCGCCCAGCATGATCGGACTGCCGACGCGCGCGAGCCACGGCATCAGCCCGCCGAACAGGCCCGCATACTCGAGATGAAAAAGCGCGGTCAGCGCATTGCGGCTTGTGTTTGCCTTGACCAGCGGTGCCTGCAGGCAGCCGACCGACTCGTCGCTTTGAAGGAAGGTCTGCCAGGCTTCCTCAAGCTGCCGGGGATGCGGGCGGTCCTCCGCATCGTATAGGGTGATGAACTGGCCGCGTGCGAACATCATCGCGTAGTTGAGCGCCTTGGGCTTGGTGCGCGGCTGTGCCGGCGGAACGCGAACGATCTCGAAGCACGGTGGCAGCTCCTGCCGCGCCAGCGCATCGATCGTGTCGACATCGTCGTCTTCGCACACCAGCAGGATTTGCAGCCGGGAGCGTGGCCATTCGATCGTTTTGAGGCTGGCGATGAGATCGGGAACGACCGCACTCTCTTTGTAGAGGCAGACCAGGACCGAATAGTCGGGCCGGGTACGCGGGTCCATGCGTTTGAGAGGTGCTGTCGCCGGCGCCCGGAAGGTCAGGACGGCCAGAAGCCGCAGCAGCACGCAACTGAAGAAGAACGTCGACATCGCCACATGCAGTGCGGTGCTGGCAATGCCCGGCCGTGTGGCGAAGGCGGCTGCAACGCCCAAAACGAGCAGCGCGGAGACGACGCCCTGCCAGAAGCGGGCGCCGGCATGGGCCGACATGGCAGGTTCGTCATAGGCCAGCTTGCGGGTCGCCGTTTCCAGCAGCAGCGGCCAGTATTTCCGCGTCAGAAGAGTACGCAACGTCTCGGGCTTCGTCAGAGCAAACGACCGCCGGAGACCGTTTGATGCCAGGCTCACGCTGAGGGTTTCGACGGAACGCGGATCGGGCGCGGTCACCGGCAGCGTGCGGCCGTCGCGCAACTGGCACCAGATGAGATTGGCCCGGACATTGACGCCCTCGAGCGAGCCGTCTCGCCCGTTCATGATCATCGCGATATCGCCGGGCTCGACGAAGCTCACCTGCAGATGATTTGCCAGCGTCCGGTAGTAGGCCTCCTGTGTGATGGCGCCATGCGCCAGAAGCTCGGTGCCCGCGACCGTTCCGTTCTTGGCCGCCAGCATCATCGCCTGGCGCATCCGCTTGACTGGAAACCCGATCGGCGCAAGAAACGCGCAGGACGGGCACAAGACATCGCCGTCGGTTTCGGCCGTTTGATCCGGGGGAGGGGGCTGTGCCGCGGGAGCAGGGCCGTGGCTGCGCGGGTCTCCACGGCGTTCGACGGATTGAACCAGAACACCTTCCATCGCACGCCGCCTTTAATACACAAGCAAAAAGAATAAACGGCACTATATCGACGATGTGTTTGAGAGCAATGCTTCGGGATATTTTCAATTTACGCGCCGGAACCCCTGGGGTGTCGTGGGCGCTTGAACGGGTTGCTTCGATGTCGCGAACCGCTTTGGCCGCCGCAGGGCTCGCCATGCTCGCGGGCGCACCCGTTCACGCCGAACCGCCGCGCATCTGGGACCCCGGCTACCGGATCGTCAGTCCCGACTTGGCCGGCATTCCGCGCCTGCGCTTTCTGACCAGTCTCGATTTTCCGCCGTTCAATTTCGCCGACGCCAACCGCAAGCCGACCGGTTTCAATGTGGATCTGGCGCGCGCCATCTGTGCCGAACTGGGGCTGACGGACCGGTGTGAAATCCAGGCGATACCCTGGGACGAGCTCGAACCCGCGCTCGATGGCCGCCGTGGCGAGGTCATTCTCGCCGGAACTGCCCCGAGCGCCGAAAAGCGGCTTCAGTTCGGCCTGTCCGAACCCTATTTCAGGTTTCCGGCGCGGTTCGTCGCCAACCGCGCTTTTCAGCCCGGCGGCGATTTTGCCCGGGCGCTGGAGGGCCGCAAGGTGGCCGTCGTGGCGCGATCCGCCCACGCCGCCATGCTCGAAACGCATTTCCCGGCGACCGAACCGGTGCCCGTTGCCGACATGCCGGCCGCCTATGCGGCGCTCGGGAGCGGCGAGGCCGATCTGGTTTTCGGCGATGGCGTCACCTTGTCCTTCTGGCTGGCGGCGCCCGCTTCCGAGCAGTGCTGCCGTTTCGTGTCCGGCCCCTACATGTCCGGCGCCCATCTCGGCCATGGCATGGTGGCGGTCACCCGCGCCCAGGATCAGCTGCTGCTTGATGCGATCAATGCAGCGCTCAAGGCCGTCGAACAGAACGGCGTCTATGCCGAGATCTATGCCCGCTACTTTCCGATCGACCCGTTCGGGTCCTGACCGGACCGTTTGCTGCCGTAGCGGAAGGGAAGGGCCAGCGCCCATCCCAGATTGGAGGTTTGCGGTCCGTCGAAATCGGTCAGGCCTATTCGCATGCCGTCATGGCCCGCCGCAGGCTGGTCGGTGTAGGTGCCGAACAGCCGGTCCCAGATCGACAGGTTGAAGCCGTAATTGCTGTCGGTTTCGCGCTGGACGACCGAATGATGGACCCGGTGCATGTCGGGTGTCACCAGCAGCGCCCGAACCACCCGGTCGAGTTTCAGCGGCAGGCGCGCGTTGGCATGGTTGAACATCGCCATGCCGTTGAGCACGATCTCGAAGACCAGCACCGCGACCGCGGGCGCCCCAAGCGCGATGATGACAGCCGCCTTCCAGAGCATCGAGATGACGATCTCCAGCGGATGAAAGCGCAGCGCCGTCGTCAGGTCGAACCCCTGGTCCGAATGGTGCATGCGGTGGATGCGCCAGAGCAGCGGCCATTTGTGGCTGACCAGATGTTCGAGCCACACCGCGAAATCGAGCACGATGAAGGCGATCAGCCCGGCGAGGACGACCGGAACGCCGGTGGCGTTGAACAGGCCCCACCCCTGCTGTTCTGCAAAAAGCGCTGTGCCGACGGCCGCTGCCGGAAAGATGATCCGCAGACAGACCGACGAGATGACGACCATCGACAGGTTGACGAACCAGCGGCGCGATTTCAGCGCGCCGGCCATTTCCGGCCGTTCCAGCCGCGGCGCCCACAATTCGAACGCGGCCATGGCGGCGAAGATCGCGATGAAGGCGGCCAGACGTATTTGCGGTTCGTTTTCCATCACTAGCCAACAGATGGCGCGTCGCCGCGCGCCGGTCAACGTGTCTGTCGGGCACAATGGCGTGAGCGTTTCGCTCCGCCGCTTACGATTGTGAGGGCAGCCGGAAGCGCACCCGCGCCGAATGTTCGATGGCGGCGATGACCAGCGCATCGAGATCGAGCGCGTCGCGCAGCATCTGCAGGAACCGTAGTTCTTCCTGCTCCACATGCAGGTCGGCGGCGGCGATCTCGACGGCCACCGCATAGGCGGTCTCGTAGAGTCTTTGCGGGATCGTGTCGTGAACCATGGTCAGGATCGTCTCGAGGCCGGTTTCCTCCTCGAGTATGGCGGTGCAGTTGTTGGCCTGTTCGACCAGGACATCGCGGTCGATGCCTTCGAAGATCGGCAGCGTGTCGGTGATCACGCCGATCCGGTTCAGTTCGCGATCCGACAGCCGAGCATCCGCCGCCGCCACCGTGACCATGATGTAGATCAGCGCCCGGGCCTCATCGATCTTCGCCATCGTTCGATTTCCTGTTTCGTGTCGCTCCGTCTGTATGTTTGCCGCTCCGGCAGCGCAAGCGGCAAGAGGCCCGCCCTTTGTCGCATTGAGCGCCGGCGGCCCACTTCCCATCGCCGTCTTCATGACCTATTGAACCGGCTTTCCGCCGCCATTGTCTGCCGAGGAACCGCCATGAGCGCCGCCCCGCTGCCGCCCTCCGATCTCGATCCGGCCATCGCCGAAGCCGCCGCCAAGTCCAGGGCGTGGCCCTTCGAGGAAGCGCGGAAGATCATCAAGCGCTATGAGAAGACCGGTTATCCGGAGACGGTCCTGTTCGAGACCGGCTACGGTCCGTCCGGCCTGCCGCATATCGGCACGTTCGGCGAAGTGGCGCGCACCACCATGGTGCGCCACGCGTTTCGGGTCCTGACCGGCGACACCGTGCCGACGCGGCTCCTGTGCTTCTCCGACGACATGGACGGCATGCGCAAGATCCCAGACAACGTGCCCGACCGCGCGGCGCTCGAGCCGCATCTGCATAAGCCGCTGACCGCCGTGCCAAACCCGTTCGGCGGCGATTATGAGAGCTTCGGCCACCACAACAATGCCATGCTGCGACGGTTCCTCGACACGTTCGGCTTCGACTATGAGTTCGCCAGCGCGACCGACTATTATACCTCCGGCCGGTTCGACCCGGTTCTGCTGACCGCCTGTGAGCGGTTCGACGAGATCATGGCGGTGATGCTGCCGACGCTCGGGGAGGAGCGGCAGGCAACCTACAGCCCCTTCCTGCCGATCTCGCCCAAGACAGGCCGCGTGCTCTATGTCCCGATGAAGCATGTCGATGCCAAGGCCGGCACGATCACCTTCGACGACGAGGACGGCACCGAGACGACGCTGCCGGTCACCGGAGGCGGCGTGAAGATGCAGTGGAAGCCCGATTTTGGCATGCGCTGGGCCGCGCTCGGCGTCGATTTCGAGATGTTCGGCAAGGACCACCAGACCAATGCGGTCATCTATGACCGCATCTGCGCGATCCTGGGCGGGCGTCCGCCGGAGCATTTCGTCTATGAGCTGTTTCTCGACGACAAGGGCGAGAAGATCTCGAAATCCAAGGGAAACGGCCTGACCATCGACGAGTGGCTGACCTATGCGCCCGCCGAAAGCCTGGCACTCTTCATGTTCCAGAAGCCGCGCACGGCCAAGCGGCTTTATTTCGATGTGATCCCCAAGGCGGTCGACGAATATTTCAGCTTTCTGTCTGCCTATGGCCGCCAGGATGCCGCCGCGCGCCTGTCCAATCCGGTCTGGCACATCCATGCCGGCAACCCGCCCGAAGCGGACATGCCGGTTCCGTTCGCGATGCTGCTCAATCTGGTCAGCGCTTCGAATGCCGAGAACCGCGACGTGCTCTGGGGCTTCATCTCGCGTTATGCGCCGGGCGTGAACGCCGAGACCCATCCGCAGCTCGACGCGCTGGCCGGCCATGCCATCCGCTATTTCGAGGATTTCGTGCGCCCGTCCAAGCGTTTCCATGCGCCCGACGACATCGAAAGACAGGCGCTCGCCGATCTGTCGGACGCGCTGGCTGCCCTGCCGGCCGACAAGGCGACGGACGGAGCGGCGATCCAGGATGCGCTTCTCGATGTCGGCCGGGCGTTCGAGCGCTATCAGGACCCGGCCAAGAAAAGCCCGGAAGGCAAGCCCGCCGTGACGGGTGACTGGTTCAATGCGCTCTACCGGGTGCTGCTGGGCCAGGAACGCGGGCCGCGGCTGGGCTCGTTCATCGCGCTCTACGGGATCGACGAGACGCGCGCGCTGATCGACAGGGCGCTCGGCGGCGAACTCGCCGGCGACGCCGCGGCCTGACCGCTACTGACTGGCCCACAGGATGCGCGCGATCCATGCGATCTCGCTGCGGTCGAGCGTCCGGTCCGCATGGTCGGGATTGGCCGACGCCAGTTCCACCGTGCCGGCGCTCTGCCGCTTGAGGATCTTGGCCATCACTTCGCCGCCATGCGTCTTGACGACGACACGGTCGCCGCGCCGCATCGAAGCTGCCGGCGAGACGATGATCGTGTCGCCGTCGCGATAAAGCGGCAGCATGGAATCGCCGGCGATCTCCAGCGCATAGACGTCGGCGCCCAGCCCCGCATCGGGGAACGCGGCATCGTCCCACCCTTCGCCGGCGGGAAACCCGTCCGCGTCGAAAAAACCGCCGGCGCCGGCCTGCGCCATGCCCAGCAGCGGTATCCGGCGGGACGGCGGGGCATAATCCGCCGCACCGGGCTCGGAAAAGCCGGTTTCGTAGCGGCCGGGCACCATCAGCGCGACCAGTTCGTCCATCGACGCGCCGGTGGCTTCCATCACCTTGGCCAGTGATTCGGTCGACGGCCAGCGTGCCCGCCCGTCGGCGGCAAAGCGCTTGGACTTGTTGAACGTCGTCGAATCGAGCCCTGCCCGTTTGGCAAGGCCCGACGGTGACAGGTCGTGGCGCTCCGCCAGCCGGTCGATGGCGGCCCAGACCTGCTCGTGGGAAAGTGGCGACATGGTGCTTTGGCCGGTGAGTTCAAAGGAATAAATACCTTCATCGACGCGGTCCCGCAAGCCGTGACTTGCGTCGTCCGATCGGGCCGGACGACCGAAGAGCAAAAGGCTCCTGTCAGCGAATCCCTCCAGGGACCGGTCGGTGCGATCCCTGTCGGACGACGCACATCTGGCCTGTCTGGCGTG